TACTGAAAAAATGTCATCTGATTTTGTGAAAATTTACTCCACATTTATGTAAAGAAAATCATTGTTTTATGAAAGATTATTCCCGAGTTTGTTATCATAATGTCCATATTAACAAGTTTGTTATGTTTAATTGGAAAATTGTTGAGTTTCCTTGCACTATTCTTAGTTGTGTTTTCGAATTGAAACACGATGGACACTCTGAATTCAGTTATCGCTTCTACTTAACAAATACCAAACTTAACACAGGATGCTGTATTCTTTCTCTGATTTTTTTTATTGTAATTATGCATCGTCATTAAAAACAATTTCGTTTATTCTGTGATACACAATTTCATTTAAAAATGAAGCATTATAACTCGGGATTACTATTAAGTTTAGAATGCAGATACCGATGTGTACGTGCGTGTGTGCGTGTATGTAGTGTGCGCGCCTTTGTATCTGATGTCCTGTAGTATTCAATTATTCGTTCATATTTAAGCTTTCTATATATAATCAGTGGTGTTAATACACAATAGAATGCTATCATAAATTAAGACACAACAAACTATTGTTTTTGAAGATGAAAAATGACATATTCACTTATTTATATATACCACGCCTGTACAGGTATCACGTATTCCTGATGATGAATACATCACTTAGTCTTTCCTAAAAGCATTTTTACGTCAATATTTTTTTTTCATTTGTTCTTTTGTTCGGGTAGCTCTTTTTAAAGGGATATTTAGGCAAAATAATGACAAAAATATTATTATGGTCTTATGTACTCAAGTCACGCTAAAATTACTTTTCTGGAAGTTTTAGCTTGAATTTCTGTTTAAATTCTATATATTTTAGGTTTGAAGCGTAAATATATCTATATACTGTATGTTAAAATTTAGACGCCAGTAGAATCATCAAATAGCTTAAAACAAGTCATGTGACTTGAACAAACCCCTGAAGTTACAGTAACAGATATTGTGGATATTTTATTATTGAAACAAGCCTAAGTCATCCATTTGACATGTTCTTTAACATTTCAAGAGTTTTCCAGAGTTCACTTTGACAACTATTGTGAAATGCTACCGCTCTAACCTGACCCACGCGGGTCAAGTGAGGAAACCACCAATTTATTCTTTATATGGAGAAAAGTTTTGTTCCTTTGACTGTCTAAAGTATAATTTTGAGGGCATTTACAGAATAATGAAAGAAAAAATAAAAACTAAGAAATGAAAATTTTGCCTGTGTCTCCCTATAAGACTTGTGCCTATGTTTTCTATTTTTCTGTCACTAATCCTTAAAAGTGTTTGGTCGGTCTGTATCAAGCTGTTTAAAAATGATATTTATTTAAATACATGCTGTTGGTAATAAAAAAGGTCTTGATTGTAGCAAAACTATATTAGACTTTAAACAAAGTGATTTTATAACTTTAGATTTTGTAAAAAAAATAAATTTGTCAAGTCTCATTTCTGAATATTGTTATCATAATTATTTTGAGATTACTTTTTAGTATGTCCGATTTTAATTCATTATGTATTTATTTAAAATTATTTATGTACGTGGGTTTTATTATTGTTTAAAACAATCTCTGTTTCTCTTAGTGGCAATTTAACTTGTTTAAATGTGTTTTATACTCACAGGAATATCAGTTATCAAAGATAGTTTTTCATAACCATATGATTCCTACAATAATTACTTGTTGCTTTTTTTTCAAATGATGTTAAGGACCTTAACACAATACTTTACACGAAGCTATCGTTTTGTTTTGTAAGAAAAGAATAATTATTGGCTTTAGATTATTCATGATATTTTGATCAGTGCTTTGATAATTTTGCATTGCAGCATTAAATTAATGCGATGCGTAATATTGCAATACATTTTTTAATTTGGGCGAAGCAATTTCAATTAGAAAGTAATCATTGCATTATACTGATGATACATTTGCTTTTACGAAAGCGATCATATTTCCCTGACTCATTTCTTAGAAAAGAAATCACATAAAGCAAATAGAAAAAAAAAAACCAACAAAAAAAAAAAAAAAAAAAAAAAACAAAACAAAAAAAAACACAAAAGCGAAACAAAAAACGATCTTCTTCCGTGCTTGTAGATGCGGGTACGTCTCTAAAAACAAACACATTTCATCACATACATGTAAAAAGATTCATCCTTGATCCATTCTTGATTCCGGTTACCATTTACACGTGTTGTACACTAAATTTGTGTTCCTCCCTTTTGCCTGTCGTTAAACACCGACCACTTGTTTCACGTTATTTGAATGTCTTGCCGGAATAAACTTATTATCACTAGTTATTATCAGCTTAGAGACAATCGCAAACGCTCATTTTTATGGCATATTGTTCTTTGGGTTCAAAAATATAGCAGACAAAACGTTTAAAATAATATAACTAAATTTGACAAAGGTCCGATTCTGTGCTTACTGGTTATCTATAAAATACTGAAAAACCCTTTTAATCTTAATTTCACATGCATATTCAAAAGTGAGACCAAAAGTCTATATTTGCAAGGAAGGACTTAACTTGATACTTCTCATGTTTGAATCAAGAAAGGCAACCGTTTCTATTTTGAATCAAATTTCAAACAACGATTACTTCCCCAAGTCAGTAAAGAAATGACTGAAATAAGAATATGTTTCCCTATAAAGTTTTATATACGTACCACCAATAATATTGAATTCTGCTTAAATCAGTGTTGGAGCGCTAGGACGAGTTAAACGCTAATAGTTATGTAGTGAAATACCTAAACAAGCAAGATACCTTATAATAAGGCACACTCGACAAATATAACTATGTGCTTTTTGTTAAAAATCCAGAAAAGAAATAACACATAACATAACAAAAATGAAACTACACATATGGCCAACCAACAGCTATGACAGGTGTGGAATCTCATATCTTAAAAACGGAAAGAAACGGAAGAAGAGGCAAATGAAGCAAAAAGCGCTCAAACAGTTGAGAAAAAAACATAAACATGATTGAAAAATTGTTGACAATAACGAATAAGGCAGAAGTAAGAAAGTTCAAGATAGAGCAGAGACTTCTTTAGAAAAAAAAGAGTAAGGAAAGAAGCTGAAGACCTTTGTGATGAACGCAACGATGAAGAAGAGTATATAACGTTCAATTAGAATAAATGCAACAGATGCTATGTTGATAAAATGATCGAAAGGTGTTCATGATTTCATCGATGTTGAACAGACATTGATTTGAACGATATTACAGTGGAAGATGTGCAGTTATATTATTTCAGCCATTGTACTGACAATAGTATGATAGCGCTTATATAAGAGACCATGATAGAATAGCCGACTTTGTTGAATATGATAAAGTTGCTAACATTTATTTTTTTTACATTTATTCATTTTACATAAAGTCTCGAGGTTAAAATATTTATAACGAAATTTAATAGTAATTTATATAAAACGATAAAACGTTTGCGTGTTTGTAATGCGTTAAAATATGTAGAAAGCGCCGAGTTATCTGGAAATAGCACCGCCTTCAGTTCAGAAAAAACCCGGGCTTTGTTACCCCAGGGTTTTTTGGGGTTTAAATTACATAGATCGTTTTTCACCTTTGGGGAAAAATTAACCCAATAGTGGGGGGGCTTTAGTTTTTTTAAAGAGAATTTTTTTTTGGGATACAAAAATTTTTTTTTGCAAATTTCTTTGGGAAAAGTCTAAAACACTTTGTTATTTTTTATTTTTATTTTCCCAACAAAAAATTTCCCCTTAAAATCGAATTGTAAAACCTTAGTTTTCTTTTAAACCATTTAAAACCTTTTAGAAAAGTATTAAAAAAAGTGTGGGGGCATTAAATCCCTTTTATTTGATTCTTTTAAATTATCTTTTCTAAATTTTCGTACTCTTGAAATATAATCGAGGGAAACCCATTTAGGAATATGTTTTTTTAGATTTACTTTGTGTCTCTTGACTTTTACTCGTTCTACTTATTACGTAATTAAGCCGTTAATTGAGCAAACAAAATTCCCTAATAGGTTCCTATCCGAAAATGATTATCCTTTCATGCGTGTTCATGTATTTCAAACCACATCTTTATTGTTATGCCGACTCCGAATAAATCCCACTTACATCAAACGGTGTGTCAAAATCGGCATCTCTCTCTCTCTCTCTCTTTCTCTGACTCCTAAGTTTCATGCAAAATTATTGCATAAAACGCACATATCGCACCAAAAGGAGTAAAGTAACATTACTCTTAACACCTTTTTAATGACCATGTGACATCTGACCAATAAAAAAGCCGTTGGTTAATATTATTTATATATAATAGCAAAAAAATCTTAAAATCTTTAGCGGAGCTGTCACGCGACTGCTGGTAATCGGTAGGGTATTTAATCGATCCACTCTTTAAGCGAATTATTACATATGTATTATGTTATATGTTTATTGTTACTGTGCCTATGTATTCATGTATGAATTAACGATAAAGAATGAATTTAAATATGAACAAAACTGAGCGTTTTGCAGACTGCTCTATTATGTTATGTTTCATATTTATTGCGATCCTTTAATTATAAAAAAAATAATAATAATAATTATTATTATTATTATTCATAAATATGTATTAAGTGATCGCTCGAGAGCATTCAAATTATTAAGATTACATGAAAATTGCAGACTCGGGTTTTATTGCGTCTGTACATGAGGGGTAATATACATGTGAAACATCCTTCACGCCCGTCTTAAGCTATTTTGACTTCACGAATTCACTTTTTTTGACTTAACAAATAAACGACTTAAGCTTCAATTCGTAAATTCATGTTCTGAACTTAACGTTTTCATTTTTACGAACTCAAGATTTCATCGTCACGAAATTATACAGACTATTGCTTTAGTCTGAGCAGTGACACTACTCGTGTTAACTAAACATCGTGTAATTGTTCCTATATAAGTGTAGTTAAACTCTTAGATGTCGACCATCTGATTTTATTCCATTAAACTTAGAGATAACGTGATGTTATGAAAGAATTACATACTGAAATGTATGGTATAAATTCTTATCTGTATAAAGCAGAGCAGATTTGGTGTAAATATACCAAAGTCTGTAGGCAAAATCAGCATTTTAAAGCTACTAAAGAATTTGGCATAGGAGTTTTGATTGATCATGGAAGGTATGTGAATGTAATAAACAAAGTCTGAAATTCTTATTGGCAATATTTAGATGCTTATTAAGTTCTGTGTAATATCTTAAGGCTTAAATGTATTTATTTATTAAGTAAACCTCTATTGTGAGTTTTCTGAAAAGAGCTTGTACTTGTGCCATGAAAAATATTGAGTATTATCTAAGACGACTATCGTATGAACGTTGTGTTAAATGGCATACATTTTAGCTTTAAATAAACATAACATAGATATGTTACTATCTTAAATTCTAAAAAATGGCTGTTAAAAATGTTTAAAGCTAACTTATAAAGAAAAGATAATCTACGTGCCTACAGAAATTTTGCATTGCAAATTGCCCTAGTAATACAATTGAAACTATATTATCAATTCCTTATAATGCAGGAAACGATCAAGATATTGTTAATACTTGCTTATTTAGTATAACGTTTTTGGAATTGATACATTTGCTATTTTAGCTATCCTTTTTATTACAGTGTTTTATGGCGTGTCTCTCCTTGTATTTCTTACCTTAACCTCCTTATTACAAGGTATTTATAACCAGTAATTTTTTGCAAAAATACCAAGTGTCTTTAGAAAACTGTTGAAATTATACTTACATTTTCACTATCTAACTTTTACCAATCTAATCTATCGAATTCAATATTGTAATCTCAAAGTGATTTGAACATTGTAGCATTTGCAACAATCTGATGATAATTATAGTATGATTCCGTAGGGTTGTTTAGTTTTAATCAGTCACCTGCAATTTACCTACTGCTTTGGCTTCGATAACTGACAGGAACCATAGATTCTAGCTATACAACTAGATTTTGGATGTTGGGCAATAATGAACAGGCCACTCATCCCTATATTAATGCACAAAGGAGCACATTGGGTCGTCCTTAATTATGGAAATGGAAATACCCATATTAGTATAATATGGCAGTGTTACAGAAGTTTCAAAATAATTGAATATCCAATTAGACATATTTTCTTTTTGTTCTTTGAAAATAAATCTGCCACTGTTTCAAATTGAAATCATAAATCTAATAATATGTAATTTTATCACGTAAAGCATAATTTATTTACATGTATACCGCTTTATCTGGTTTACATAGTTTTTCATATTCGTTTTAGCTGTATTTTTTATCTTTTTTACAAAGGAACTGTTGCAATACAATGTTATTCTTGTGACAATTTTGATACCAGCGAAGATTGTATGAACATAACTGACTGCGGTAATAATGAGGTATACTTCCATCCTTTAAACATTGTAATATAAAAAAGTAGTAAAAGAGTAAGTTTCGAAGAAAGTCCTAGTTTAAGACTTTATGACGGATAACAGACTTAACACCTTCTATGAAGCGCACTTAATTTTATTAACCTAACAAAATCAATATTACACTAACTTAAGTTTAATAATAGAAACAAACAAACAAACAAACACACAAAACCGACAAACAAACAAAACAAACAGTCATTGTATTATATCAATCAATTTCTATATGATTTGTATTCAAATATAACATTTATTTATTAATGAAATATTTACACAAAAGAGTATTGTTAAATATCAATTATTTAAAACAGTTAACAGTCAAGATTCTTATTAAACATTACTGTTAAAACATTTTCTCCTGCATCGCTATTGATATAAAAATATTGTAAAAACATATGCTCGAGTTGAATTGTGTAGGCACGTTTATCAATAAAACAAAAAAACGAATAGTGCATACGGCAATGAGGTACTGGTGTAACATTAAATTTTAACGACCGAGGCTCAGTTCTCAACATTGAACAACTTACAACAGGGTCAAAATTTAATTTTACACCGGCTTATCTCCATTTAATTTGCGAATAAGTAGTCAACCATCGCCATATAAGGCTTATGGATATAATTTCTCAATACTCATATGAATGCTTGGTTCAACCATCGAGAATTCATGCCATAATTGTTTGTTATATTTTCACCAATTAACACAGGTGTGTTATGCTCGTGCTGACGGTACTTCAACTGGAAATGTGAAGTACACAGTGGGATGTACACGCGATATGGTATGCAATTTTTATGTAAATTTTTGCTTTTACTTTGAAAAAAAAAACACGAATACAATGTAAGCATATCGAGCTGTTAAAAAAAGTATAGTCATTAACCTTTCGGATACATATATATTTACGGAAACAAGGAAGATATTTGTGTGAATTATTTTAACTTTATATCAATAGCCACTTAAAGCCCAAAACTGTGGAATAAAAAATATTTTTAAAAAGTATTTATTATTCTTACATTTGTCTTTGTTATCATGGTTGTATACAAATAAAATAATGCAACATTTTTAATCTATGTTTTCATATGTGCAACATTACTATTCGGTGCGTTACTTTATTTGCATGCGAACCAACCAACTTCTTATGTCGGGGGATGCAATGTCGTTTTGCATTGTATATCTTGATGATCCTTTTATCATTTATTTTGCTATTGTGTTATTATTAACCTCGTGAAAGATATTTAATGAATGAATGCATATAAATGTACGTTTTATCATCATCACAGTCTGCCCAAAGAGAAGATCCGACATTTTGTGCAAATGTATGCATGGACAACTTGTGTAACTTAGACCATTGTAACATTCCAAGTGCGTAGACTACTCATAATGTATTAACTTTATTCGATAAGTTTGCACATCAAATTAACCACATTATATGCTCTTCTTATTCCATATTAAAAGATAAATAACCCTACAAAAACCTATTATGTCATTGTTATGCTATGCGTACATTTGTATATGGCTGTGCGTGGAAAAATAAGAACTAATATATGCAAGTCAATCAGTTTCTCTTCTGACGAGTATCTTTTTTTTAAATATACTTCTTGTTTTTAATAAGTGAAAAACATTCCCTGATGTCATGTTGCTTACGTATTTTCATAATATTATGTTATATAGATTGGTCGTTGTGCTTTAGCTGCTTTTTGGCATTGAATCATTATTCCTTATTTTATTTTATCCCTCTTCAAACCCAAATTCTGATATTGCTGGACAATAGAATACCCTCTGATATTCTTGATGATTTACATTTGATAATGAATTGACTAATAAAATCGTAATACCTTTCATTTTAATATTTATTTCGTGCTATTTTTATATATTTATCCTTTTCAGTTTCCCCAAAAGGGAAATAAAGTTTAGGGTTTCCTCGTTGCATTTTATTGGAAATTATAAAAAAGTCCAGACACCTGGTTACAAATTTTTTCAAAACAACCCAAAAAGGGTATGAAAACTTTTTTGCGAATAAAAACCTATGCTATTATTTTTCTAAAAATTTTAAAGGGCGGTTTTTTATTTATTTTTTGGAGGCTGGGCCCTTTTCTCTCCCCGAACTCTCATGGGCCCGGGTAGATTCTTCTTTTAAACTCCCCAGGGTTTTGTTTCACCAATAATAGTTCTTAATAGAATGATTATTGCAAAACATGATCATGCTTTAAATCAAATTCAGTGAAAAGTTTATTTCAAATAAAACATAAATAACTAATAAGTAAAATAAAACAAATCACATATTTATAAAGAATAAGAATTACTAAAAATCAAAAACACAACATATCTGCAGCGGGATCTGCCATACAACGGGTAATGATTGGAATTGTGTGTGCTTTGTCATCATACAACATTTTACTTTTGAACGAAAATGTCAATATTTTTCGTGATTGTAGATATGTTTTATTCGTGAAGTTTCGGTCTACGGAAACAGAAAATATCGAATGGGTTGTATGAATACAATGGTAAGTAATGTATCTTCAATTATGTTTTTATTGCTATGTCACGGTTATGATCTGTTCATTATATATAGGGGAGTAGATGTGTAAGCAGCCGGATAGCGAAGTCGGTAGAGCCGCGGAACGTTGTTTTTTTGTGTGTTGGGGTGGGGTCCGGGTTCGAATCCAATCAGGCTGCACATTTTGTGATATTGTGTGTCAAACGTTGTTCCGAACCTGCATATAGCTCTGTGCTTCACAAGCATTGCTCTGTTTTACCGATAAATTCGGGGACGAATTTCAAAATAGCGAGGGAGTATGCCACGGTTTATTACTGTTCACTATATGGGAGCGAAGATTTTTAGCGGCCGGATAACTCAGACGGTATACCCGCGATACGTTATTCCGAGCGCCAAGTGTTCATGCGCACGTTAGGCTGCACATTTTTCTCACTCTATTCCATCAAGATATTCTTACTCTTTTACCATGACTCCCTAACTTTAAAATGTTAAGAATATGTATTGATTATTTTAACTATGCTTTATTTAATGCGGTTTTATGCACACTAAACAAACACATCAGAGTTTGACGTGTTAAGCATCAAAGCAATATGCATCATATCAATGCATGTGTAATTTTCATACTGCATTAAAAAGAAATACACCATGGAACATAATACAGAATAAAGTTTCCCTTTTAGCACTGTGCACGAAGTACTCCGATCTCGGTTAATCCAGGGACAATCGTGGGTAAACGTTCGACAGTTGACAACACTTCAACAACCTGTGCTGTATGTTGTGACAAAGACAATTGCAATACAGTAGCATGTGAACACAACACAACTTCATGTAACTATAATTAAATTCGGCATAAGTGTCGAAAATATCTGTCTATGTGTTAGACTCAAGGAACATGTACCTTTACCGGTTTTGGAGGCGTTTTTAGGTCATAAGAGCTCTTATATTGTTCATTTGCCACGATATAATAAATGCCCAATATCCAGGGCTGGGAATCAAAAGTGCGTCGTATCCTACAAAATGTTAACAAACGCCGCCATCTTGGAACAGAAAATGTATGTTTTTGTTTATAACTTTTTTTTGTTGGAAATGACTGAAAACCAGATATTTGTATCAACACGCTACACTATTTTCCGCTTCGTTCGGTATATGTTGCTTGCACAACTATTTTGTAAAACAAAAGTTATAGCGAACTTGCAACTCGAAGCAGAGCATAATTTTATTATTTTTTTTTTATGAAATTGTGTGGATATGAAGCAGTTCATATTGCTTTATCTATCGTTTTTTTTTTTTAAATTCAAATCAATTATATTACTTGCTTTCAGAGTTCACCATAAACTTCAAAATATAATTTTGCATCATTTTCTAAACTTTCATTAATTTAAAAAAGATATGATTAATTTTCCAAGAAAATAATTATTTTTCCGAAATGATACGACGCAGTTGAAAATAAAATATGATAATTTTCATTGCAAGCTGCATATTGGTTAAACTATTTAACACTTTCCCTCATGAGAATATTGTGAAAAATGGATGTTTTTATTGAAAAGCCTCCTGTTATAAGTTCGAACTGCTATGAAACTATGAGAAATACTTCAATTCTAATCAAACTTGGCACAAATGTTGACTGGACCATTGCCTTTGTAACGACATGCTCAGTCTTAAATTTTCTGTTACCGTGGCAACGAAGGGAGGTCTCACAATTGCCAAAAATCACTAATTTGCCTCGTTTTTATCCAATAAAATTTATTTCAAAGTGCTGCAACTCCTCAAGGGATTGAGATAGAGTCAAATACTTTTCAGCGTTGGTTACACGTTACAGTGGCCGATTCAGGCCCAGCCTTAAGGGCTGCACCCCCCCCCCCCCAATCCAGCTCGGCCGAAATACGAGGGGTGTCCCAGAATTACGTGGACTTTTGCTGTAACTCTAAAACTACTGAAAATAAAAACAAACAAAATTAACATGAACAAAATGCAACTTTATTGCATTAGTACAAAAAATTTCAAAGTTGTTCGGCAACTGGATCAGTGTCTGTGGGGAGGGTAATGAGACAAGGGGTAGCGGGTGCGGGGCAGTCCATTCCGACGTTATGACGTCATTCCGGTGGCGTCGCTTGTTGTTAATAGCTGCGTGGCGTCAAATGTCAGTTTTTCTCAATATAGTCGCCGCCTAACTCATTACACCTATGGTGTCGATATATCCACTGGTCGTACACCGCCCTGTATAATAATGATAAAGCATACTATTAACTTTTGTTACGATAATAGTGTTAAAGACGACGGTGATAATGCTGACGCCGTATTATTATTATTATCTTTATTTATCATTATTATTTTTATTATTATAATTATTATTATTATTATTATTATTATTATTATTATTATTATTATAATTATTATTATTATTACTATTATTATCATTATTATTATTATTATTATTATATTATTATTATTGTGGAGTTTATTTTGTACGCAAAGACAATGTGCGTTAACAAGGGAAATAACCTATCATGCACACTGCTTACTATAGCAGTTTGAGTTCACTTTTTTAAAAGTTGAAGGGGATAAATTGCGTTTAAAATAATAAATTGTGATTAGCTTAATTTTTAAAAATCATTTTTTTAAACACAAAATTATTGCTTACCCCTGAATTGTACTCAGCATTGACCTTGGTGTAACGCCTGTCCCGATCTATGACGTCCTTGACTTCCTTAATTGACGCCGAAGTCAACGTTGACTTTCTCCCACGACCCTTGTCGTCTTCAATGTCCTCTCGGCCGTCTCGAAAACGCTTATTCCACTTGAAAACGAGTGATCGACAAACAGGAGGTCTCACTTTTGCAGTCTCCAACATTTCCTGCGTCTGTGTTGGCGTCTTCCCAAGATTAACACAAAACTTGATGATAGTCCGATGTTCCGCGTAATCCGTGGACGCCATTTTTTGTTAAATATCCAAGAGCAACGGTTGTCAGTTGTCCGCTGGTAAACAATAACGGAAACAGCTATGACGTCAAAATTTAAAACGGACGTTATATGACGTCACTGCATATGCTTACGAGGTCGCGCCATTTTTTACGTATAAATACGCAAGATATACGAAAGTAAAGACAACTTATTAATACAAAATATTGGACTGCCCCGCCCTGCGCATACTGTGTTACTATAGCGACGTAAAATATAGAGAAGCAATGTTAGAAATTTAAAAATAATGGACATATTCATTAAGGATATGTTAAAGGTATTGTGCACAAATTTGCTAAAAAAATGCATTAAAAAATAAAAAGTTATAGCAAAAGTCCACGTAATTCTGGGACACCCCTCGTATATGTTTTACTAAGATTTTTATTTAGATGAATTGACTGGTCATTTGCTTTAATTAACGTTTTTATTGCAGTTATATTTTTTAAATAAAAATTAAATTGTAATGACCTCTTTAGTCATAATCTAAAATGGATTCATTGATGGGAAAATAAATCTTACTAAATATTAGAGTTTGAGATAAAAAAACTTTTGTACAATAGAAAGGCTGTAATTCAAGAACACTTTATTAAGAAAAATTATCTATTATTCAGATCAGTCAATTGATTCAGTGTTTGAAATTAATATCAACGATCGCAGGTACATTGGTATTGTGTGCTGTTAAAGTTATTTTATAAATGCTTACTTTTAAACACAAGGACAATTCTGTTTAAAAGACCCGGCAAACACTAACCTATACAAAATACAATGTGAGTTAAACCATCCAAAATGTACCATAAACAGCACTCAAGGAAAATGTACCTTTCAAGGAAATAACACCATATTCAACCTCACATTTCAAATTTTCTCAGTACCCTCCCATGCCCATCCCAATAACTTTGACTTTATTAATTCCATATCATCTAAATATTTCTAAAATCATTAGTGTACACATATATAAGCAGATAAGCGCTATAAAACAAACACTTACATTTTTTTGGTCACATGAACAAGATACTTGCCCAGTATTCAAACAAGCCCTATTGCTGTCTGTAGCATTTTTGTTGTCAAATCTTCGACCTATATGTCAGAGCCCAGGAAACCATGTTCTGTATCCGCCCCTGCGTTACCTTATGATCCACCTGGGGCCATTTTTAGCTTTTCACAAGCCAAAATTTTCTTGGCGATGACGGGGACTGCCACCCCTTTCAAACCCCCCAAACAGAAGGGGGCACATCTTCCTTCTGGCAAAACCCTTCTAAAAACGGACAAAGGTGTGGCGTGTTAATGCATATATCTGGTTTTTAATCATTTCCAACAAATATAAAAAAAAAATTCTTTCCAAGATACGACGCAGTTTTGATTCCTAGCCCTGATATCACATATCAATTACTTAATATATGACGGTGTCATTGTAAATAATACATCTTTTTCTGTTTTACTTATATAATGTGTAACAAATATAATGTACAGAAAAAATGTTAGGTAGGAAATTTGAAGTATGAGAAATATTCGTCCTTTTAATAGGTCTGAAAATATAATAGTTAACATCATATCATAATATAGTGTCAAATCAATCATTTCCGGTTGCATATGCACCCAATGGAGTTAATTAGTTTTATTTCAAGCGGTTGGGACCTTACACACACTAAAGATGTTTAATGGCACTTGTGCTAACAACAACGACGATTCGTGTGCAGCATTTGGATTGCTTGACTCAGATGCGTGCGTTAAATTGCCAAAGGTCGATGAACTGTGTCCAAAAACTTGCGGACTATGCGGTAAGTATTCTACTAATACTAATAAAATACACACATATCTTTCTCCCTAATGAGTGTTTAGGAAACTTGTGAAACTTGCACTTTTCTACGTTCTTCATTTAAAATGACATTTGAACCTGGAATTGAATGTTATTCGAGATATTGTGATGTTTAATACCTATTAATAGCTAATATGATAATCATTTTTACGCATCTAAAAAAATACTGTAAGACAACTAGAATGGTGACCGATTGGATATATAACATATTTTCTCTTTAAACATATTATATATTATAATATAACACAGCAAGTCGTTGGCATTGAAACTGTTTATTTTAAACTGTTTACAAAGCAGTTAAGACAGTGAATACAGGTAAACAGTCTTACATAGACAATTTATCCTTCAAGTACCGTGGTATTTGTCATTCAAAATAATGAAAAGCGAAAGCTTAAATGTTTTAAACAATAAGACTTTAAATAAAATCTAGGTCATTTCGGATGGGCACAATGGAACGACTGGTCTGCTTGTTCAAAGACATGCAGCCAAGGGACCACGACAAGAAGAAGGGATTGTCTACATCAAATTACTGCAGCACATGTCCAAACCTGTACAGGAGTAGCAGTAGAGACAAAGAGTTGCAGTGACGGGTTATGCTTGCGTAAGTATTACATGGAAAATACAATTATATTTGCAATGCATCCAATTTAAATGTATATCATGCAAGATTGTTTTACTAGATGGGTTATGCAGTATTTGCTTGTATGCTTTTTAAGCAACACCAGGGGTCAAACATAAGGAAATCCTTGTATTTTGTTTTTATATTCAACAAGTAGAGTGATAGCACCTGTCCAGTAAATTTGTACTTTAATTGTGTCTGCTCTAAGAATGAATAATAAATAATGCTTCTAAGTCAAAACAGTTCATTTTATATTTGATTGGAAGAACTTTTTATTACTGTCAAGGTTACATTGTGTTGTTTTACTTGTTGTTTTTGGTGTTGTTGTTTTTTTTTCTTAGTTTTTTTGTCGATTGTGTTCATTCCAGAATAAATATATTTTTTAATCAAGCATATTATGTGTTTAACACAGAATCTAGAAATTATAATAATTATAATAAATGTTACGTTTACACCTTTTTTTCAAAAACATTCTCGAGCACAAACCGGGATTATTATTATTTTTGTTATTATCATTAATATTAGGCCTTCCGAGGGAAATCCTCTGTGTCATAACTTTAAAAAAAATTGTTGTGTATTTGTTACCCATACTATATATCATGTCGCATTTATGAAAATGAACTCTTTAAAAGAAAAGATATATTTGCATAATTTATGGACAAGTAAATAAGTTGGCGATTCTTTTGTGCTAGGCGGCGTGAGGGATGATGAGTATTCTTTACTATGTAATTAACCCCCCCGAGTCTGCAATGCTTTTAATTTTTTTGTTTAATGTTTGGGGTCACTTTTTCCCCAAATTTTTTTTTTGGATGTGGGGTATTTGCTTGCACCTTCAGAATTGTTCCATTATTTTGCTAAAATAATTGATAGACTTTATCAATTTTAATTATTCTAGATGAAGGTGTGTGGTCTAATTGGGGATCATGGGGACAGTGTTCACGTACTTGCTCTAATGGTACGAAAACAAGAGTAAGGCATTGCTCTGGAAGTGGTCAAATACATGGCAGTATATTTTGTTCTGGTGACCATTTTGAAATTGCGCATTGCAATCTTCGGACCTGCCCAAGTAAGAAAAACAAAGTTTATGAGACAAAGTCAACAGTTAAAATAATTTATTTCACCACAATTTAAAAAGAAAATAGGTCTCACATAACAACCCATTAAAACCGTAAAGGCTTCTAAAGACCTAACCAGGTATGTAGGTGATCAAGGTTTCATTAAAATGATTTCAGCTTGCAGGCTTTTCAACATACATTTCCAGTTACGGTTTTTTTGCAAATTCAGTGTCTTAGTCCCTGTAACTGTAAAGCATTGTTTTATAAAAACCAAATATTATACAATTATTAAGGTGACAAAAATTTATTTTGTATTTAATACGTATGTTACGTAGTATATAAATGAATAGTTTACATTTATATTTTATAGGTGTTTCATTAATATTGTAGTTTAGTAGAGATGTTTCAATTAATATATTGTAATGTAAGCCGATGGCCCTACATTACGAAAAAAAAGCATGTGTAGTTTGTATTTATAGCACATTTATTGTTAAATTCCAAGTGAAAACTAGTCGAACTTGTTCCAATTATATTTATATTTTAGTAAACATCATATAGAATTATATCTGTAAACTAAAATAAAATAACATACACAACTAAAATAGTGTTTTTTTCTCATTTTTATCAAAGTTTGTCCATCATCCAGTTGGGTTGAGCATAGACCATCCTGTTATCTTTTTACACGTCAACAAATGACATTTGCCGCTGCACAGGTGATTTAACATAGTAATCATATCTTACTATTGTATCTAATTATTATTCAAACAGCTAAAAAGTAAACAAAACACTACAGACGTTTTTCTGTCTTAACCATTAAGACAATAAAATGTTTTTATTTGTTTCGGTCCTGAACATTATGTTTCACATTACAATTTTGTTACCATTGATTTCGCCATTTAGATGAATGAAAAACTATTTGCTTTTATTTTTAGACATATTGTCATACACGAAATGCGTCATTGGTACACGTTCAATCAACGACTGAAAACTCCTTTATCGTGTCTTATCTTAAGTCTCATTTCGGTATGTCTCCTTTTTCATATTGTGCAAATCAATGCTTGAGTGATAGTATTGTCTTTCAGCGGCTATTGACTTGATTCTTTGGTGACATATAATTAGTGATTCTTGGTCATAGATTAACCGTTTAAAATATAAACATTGCAAACGTCCGTCAATCTTTATATTGCTCGAACGTAAAGTGACGTTATGCCAATCCAAGTGTAAATTTCGTTCAGTTTGATATTATACTACGAAAACAAATGTGACCAATGGAAATTTGTATGAATGTGATTCAAAAGGCATTGATTATATTTAATTTCAATACGAGTAAGACAGTCTTTTATTTAGTTTACACAGATTCTAAGAAACATTTTTCATAAGTGGGTTATTTAGACTTTATATAATCAACATTTATAACAAAAGCAGTAAAGCCAGACCAAAACATGGATGGACAAGTTAAGTAAAATGATATTGTAGCTGATAGACTAAGATTTAAGAAAAATGGTTCAATTAAGTGTACAATTATAGCCGATCTAAAGTAAGAGCGTATACTTTGACTCTTTAAATATTTGTCGAGATTCTGCGGAGCTGAGAAAAGAGACTCATGCTATACCTGCCACTAAGTATAGCTACACTTTTGATGAATTCATATTCTGCTTAAACCGGTGCTAATGAGCGTAGGTGGTAGTTTTTAATAACCACTACCGTCCAAGAACCTGCTCAATCAAACTGATTCTGTAACATTTCATTTTCGCAGGGGCCTTTTTGCGTTCTTTGGATACCTCAGCTTTCTCTATTTAAGAGTCACAATTTAATTATTTTAATACGTATTATTTATTTCTGAAATTAGACAAATGTGACAGAATGAAGTATTTGCAGGTTCTGGTTCTAACGCCGGCTGGTGGTTGGGGATGACGGATTCTGTTACAGAAGGGAAATGGCAATGGACCGACTTAAACCAACAAGTCAACTTCACATGTATGATTTTATAACATTTCCCTAGATGTTTTACATTCATTATCATCTTCGGAACTTTGTATTACTTTTGAAGCAAGCACGAATGCCATATACCTCTTAACAAAGGTATTTTATAAGCATAAGACAGTTTCAAACATTTGTCATGGCAGATGATACTGTTAATTATTCTTGAAAGGACATAATGAATCAAATTATGGCTGCAAATAAATTAATAATATCATTTTTACTCAAAAGCTGGGCATGCCCTCGAAAAATGAAGAAAAAAAGGAAATTATATGGATTCAAATATTTGAGAGATGAACATATAGTTATATTTTGACAAACATAGACTTAAGAGATGCACTTTCCATCATTGTGTAATACTATAAATACAGTCCATTACACCATGTCTGTCTTTTTAACTGCTAACTTTCAATTGAAACAGGTATCTTTTTAAATCTATATATCTACGTTAATGTAAATGGGTCGTGACATTATTGTTAGCAGTGATTTATAATATCACAAGCAACATTGGCTTTTTAATGAGAAAAGAAAACACAGTCGATGTTTTCATATTTTCAGACTGGGATGGTGGACAGCCTGATAATGCTGGTATTGATGGTGAAGAAGACTGTGCCATATTTCTTGCAAAGTTTCAATATAAATGGAACGATGTTGGCTGTAAGGAGCAGTACAACGTCATCTGTAAAATATAATTTATGTTGTTAGAATGCATTTTATTCCTTTCAGACTGGGATCGAGGACAACCGGACAATACTGGAATTCATTCTAACGAGGATTGCGTCATATATTTCAATAAGTATGGACTTAAATGGAATGATGTTTACTGTGGAGACCAGTTTTACGTCATCTGTGAAAAAAGTTAATGTTATAAGAATTAAATGATTATTCAATAAATTATTTTTACTGTTACAGTTGTACTGCTTATTATGACCAAAAAGAATAATATAATCTTATAGTAAATCAGCATAGTTTGCGATTGTTGGCGTCCATAAGGCTCAATCAAACTGAAACTGCAAAATTTTTCAATATGCATAATTTAAGTGTTTCCTTTCGTGACGGTTAAAGTTGCCCATATATTCGAACAGGACGGTTATATATCTTATCCTAAAAGATCGTTCAGTATGACACTATTATTACTGTTTCCTGTGTCATGACATCAGTATCACTTGCATGAATACTGTATAATCAGTCTGAGGATTTGTTGATTCCGTTTTCGTCTTGTTTTTAACAGCTTATAAACAGGCTTTGTAGCCGCCGAAGTTTTCATATAGACATATAGGCGAAATCAAAACTGTTCAATAGAATTTATTTGAATTTGGCATGGTATTAGAATTAAATTACAAAAACATTTTAATCAGAAAAAATTGGGGGTCACCGTTCTCATTTTCGAGTTATATGCCCTTGAATTGGATTTTTTAGTTAAATTCAGGGGCCGATAATTTACAAAGAAGCATAACAATTTTTTCTTCTATTTTTCCCACTTCTTAACCTGTGCATTTTTTTTCTACGAAATTGGCCTATTTTCATAAATTTAAATACCTTTAATTTTATTGAATAAAGTAACATACACGATATAGAAATTGCATGTTATTCAACAATAAAAAGAAAAACATTATCCAGAAGTAAAAACAAAAATTCATTTACGTATGTATCAGCAATCTCACCTTTAAAATACCTCAAATAAGTAGAAAATTCTGATTCAGGGGCAAATAACTCAAAAACGAGACGGTGATCCATTTTGTTTTTCGCTTAAAATGTTTTTGTTATCATATTCTAACAGTATTCTTTAAGTTTAAAGAAATTCTAAAGAGACGTTTTAATTTTGGCTATTATGTCGATATGAAAACTCCCAAAAACGTACTGAAATGTTTTATTATAAAATGACAATATTTTTGCTTATGGTCAAACAAATATAACTAGGTATATTTTATTAATTTAATCTATTCATTGGTTAATCAATTAAAAGATTTATAAAATTATTGATTGATTGATTGATTGATTGAAGATGACGAAGTCATATAACACACATATCAGAAATACGAAACATAAAACCAAAGGTTATCAGGAAAAAGAAAACGATATATATATATATATATATATATATATATATATATATATATATATATATATATATATATATATATATATATATATATATATATATATATATATATATTCACATATATCTTCACTTACGGGGCCCATATATAAGACCGAGTTGAGTGGCATTGTCAGTTTTTATATACGCCACTATGTAGGCATAAAATGAACATTTCCATACAACAGAACTATATATTTAATTTTACCATAGTTGAAAACATATTGACTAATAACATAAAACCCCATAATAAATATACACATTTGTGGGACATATATCATTTACTACTAAAACCGGCCTACGGGCACTATGTTAGAAGGGTAGCCTACGCCCCCATACATCGTTTTAAACATGCCAGAGTTGCGAGGCCTTATGTATGCCCCACATTAAATATACACCCCACAAGTATGGTCTCAAATAGACCGATGCCATAGAAACAAACAGATAAAAACAACACAAAAAAACAACAGACAAACAGAATATTAGAAAATTAATCAGTATAAAAACTTTACGGCAATTTACAAAATCCTTCAAATAAGGAATCAAAACGTTTAGGCATTTGTGCATAGTTATTGCAATGCAGAGTTAATAAGATGTTTTAAATATCTTACAATCCATCCAGTAGATGGCATAATCTAGTAATACAATGCCTAGAATCACGTAGACCGGCTCACTTTATTGATTGTTTTGGCAACGACAATAATCGCTTACGTGAGATATTACCATGCAAACGCAAAACTATTGCCTCTGGCCACTGGGAGATATTCTTATTGTTAAAACAAGTGTACCATGTGACTAATAAATTACCAATATTCTCGAAATAAAAAAGTGCCAGGGGCCTGTCTTATCAACGATCGTACGCTTTTGGAAATCTTATCGTACGATTTTGATCTACGATTGTCATACGCTCGATCGTAAGACTGTCTTATCAACGCGGTCGTACGTTCAACCTAGAATCTTACGATTTTCATAAACGCACCGCAGTAGCACGGGTCGTTCTGAAACGCAGACGCTTATGCAGACAATATAGGATATATAGTTAAACGCAGACAATATAGATATAGAGTGTTTTCACAAAATGCAGACACTATACAATAAGAAGGTGTAAATAAGATACTTAAAAGCCAATTACCTGTCACAGGAAATAAAACTTAATATTCTGTATAAACTGTTTAAACGAGATATCTGAAATAAACAGTTTTTATACGCATCGCTATTCATGGGCAAATTAGAATCTGATTTTTTAAACAGTTATGACCATATATAAACATACGACTTGGCTCCGATTTCTAGATGATATATTAATGATATGGGATCATTCTATAAGTGCCTTACATGTTTGCATAAACAAATTAAATACATGTCATCCTACAATTATATTTACATATAATATATCGGAAAAAATGTGTTATTTCTTGATGTTAAGATTCATAAAAATGAAAATTGTACATTATCAACGGAAACACATATAAAACTTACATATTTCCATCAATATAACTCATGCCATCATAATAAATGTAAAGAGGGTATACCATACAGCCAAGCTAAACGTTACAGACGAATCATTTCAGACAATGATAAATTTCATGAAACACTTATAAATTTAGAATCCTTTTTCAACATCAGAAATTATCCTGATAGCAAGCTAAAATCTGCTTTTGCAATTGTAAAATATTCAATCTAAGAAGAAGCTCTGAGAATTAACCAAAATATCACAGAGCAGCAAAAAATCATACCGTTTGTTATCCCATATAATCCGTCTCTTCCCTATCATTGTCTTATAATAAATAAATACTGGCATCTTTTAATGTTGTCAAAATGACTGTGTAAAAATTACATTATCATAAACCAATCTTAGCATACACTAGTCTCAAAAATCTTCAAGATTCCCTCACCCATTCAACTCTAAATAAACGGAATATGAACGGTTAACGGTAAAATAAAAAAAGATGTACTCACTGTTAAAATATTGAAGAAAATAGTTAATTCACATGTACAAATACTGGAGAAACATTCGAAATGCATTCTGATGGAAATTGTACTTCTAGTGACGTGATTTATTTAATTACTTGTAAAAAATGTAAAATACAGTATGTAGGCCAGACCCTTAACAGGTATCAAAAAAAATGAACAGCCATAAATTTGATATAAGAAGTAATTGCCATCCAAATTTTTCTTTTAATGTTGCAATTCCGTAGATCATTCACTTGATGACTTTTCCTATATGCCGATTGATAAAGTTCCTGATAATATGCGGAGACTTTTGAAGAGACATATTTAATACATAATTTAGAAAAAAAACTGTACATCGTTTTTCAAGTATATATACTTAATTTTTTACAAACTCATCAATATCTTTTTTAGTACATATCGAAATAAAAAGACTGTTCTACTTTAGTAGTCATTTACTGTATCTAGAAATGTTATTAATGTATGTAAATCTATAAAAATACACTATTTATGTCAATGATATGAGTATTAAATTACCTCCCTTTATTCAAGCTTATATTTTTGATTGTTATATTTATATACTACATTATTCATAATGTATTCATATGTTTTGTTTGTTTTTTTTTCATATAACATAAATTAATTTTGAGCATAATACCATAACTTGAATAGATGATAGATAGAGCATTTTTATTTAATTTGATAAGCTTTATAAGATACACTGAATTATAACAATGTTTCTAAATTATTATCTCCCTTTAAATAATTTCAACATGTAATTAAAGCACGTTTTCTTTCGTAATTCTAAACTTTCACATAAGTAACTGCTATTTTCATACTTTTTTAATTATTTACGAGCCTAGTTTCTCTATGCAAATAAATGTATCTTTTGATCCAGTTATTTTATGTAATTCTTTTCGAAATATATTTATCACACAACCGTGCCGATTTTACGATATACTAAAGGCGCGTCAATGAATAATGACTATTTTTTTTCACTTAAAACGGTCTTTATTTTGGGTATTTGATAAATAGAATATTAAATTCGTGCAAGATCATCACTGAATTTATTGCACTCGTTGAAAAACATAATATTATTCTCGCCATATGCTCGCATATTATAATTTTATTCAACTAGTGCAGTAAATTCAGTATTGAACTTACACGAATTTAATATTCTATTTATCACATACCAAAAAAACACCGGGTAAGTTGAAATAAGAGTCAAATTTCATTTACGCGCCTATAGTATAACGCTAACATTTAGTATGTTTGTATTACGCTAATGACGTCACGTCAAAATATTTGCACGACCGTGCAATACAATATTTACGGAGTCGCAAAATCGGCACTGGTGTGTGATAAATATTTAATAAAACAATGTTATAAAGCATTTATAATTACTTAAAAAATATATAAATATAGTTATCATTAAAAAAACAATATATTTACAATATCAAATCACTTTATATATCTATATTGTCTGCGTTTCTTGCAATTACTATATACTCTATATTGTCTGCATTTTTCTGTATGTTCTGCACTGCAAATAAACCTAGAGTAAAATGCACACGATATAGCGTATATAGTACTTGCGAGAAACGCAGACAATATAGATAAGTAGTGAAAATGAATTTTGCAGACATGTATTATAAGCCAACTTGTACAAGTTCATGTAGTTATATTTGATTTTTTACAATATTTGTTGTTTAATTAGTACTAATTAAAGAAAATTAATAACAGTTTTACATTATATCAAAATGTGCTTATTGGGGCTAGATTAAAGCAATATAAGGATAAATCGTCATTTACCACTTTCTAATTTCTATTTTTATATGAATTTACTGTTTCACATTTCAGA